GAGGGGCAGGAACGGACAGGGCAGGACAGTGACAAAGGGGTTGTGAACACGCCCACCGCCAGCCCACCCGAACAGGAGTGGATTTTTCCTCTTCGGAAAAACATATTTTTGACAGAGTGACAGCCGTCTTGAGACAGCCGGTTGGTTAGGCACTTGCATTGGGGTGGTATTACCCTGTCCATTTCTTTGGTGAGAATGTGTCAGGAGACACAACAACAACAACAACAACAACAACAACAACAACAACAAGTTCGAAGGCCTCGTGGTCAGGCAGTGTCCAAAGACGAGGTTTTGGCAGCAAGCGCACTCAAAGTACGTCGCACTCGGGCGGCCTAACGGCACACGACGGAACAGCCGCGCCCTTGCACGTTACAAATATAATATGTGTCAGTTGGCTGATTAACCCAGAAGTGCTTCTGTAGTTATGCAATACCGCATTCCTACGTGCGAGCGGGTTGCCTACTCGCTCGACCAGTAAGGTGTCGTCGACAGGGGCGATGGGCAAGCCCGCCCGCTTCCGCACTCCTGCATGCGTTACCGTGTCTCACGATACAGAAATGCGCGCGGGGTTAATCAGCCACCCGGTCGAACCTGAGATACACACAGTTTATTACGAAGGGGATGAAACCTTGCCCCTCGTCACTGCGCCGGCGAGCAGTTGGCACTACTTGGCCCGTCCAGACAACTTTCAGGGTGAGGGTCAAGCACTGACTAGTATTCCAGTTGGCACTGCGTGTCGCAGTGTTTGATAACCAGTTAGCTGTCTGATAAGCTACCTTGACGGTGTATGAAATTCGAGATACGGATACGAAATGCCTAGTATTTCTCTCCGGCCACACTTCATGTTTCCTCTACCTTTCAAAGAACTCGCTCGGGCGAGAGTGCAACAATATCGGTGGCCGAGCGATGAGCGTTTCATCGGAAGAGACGTAGACGAAAAGTGGACAATCAAAATTCAACAAATATTCGGAACCCCATGACCCTCGGTTATGTTTGCTGGCTGCTCGCTGTGCCGACAGTGTCAACCTCGGTGTCGCCAGAGTTTTGACGTCACCTTACTCCGCCCTACGCCCACGCCCCCCGCGAGGATTGACCTTCCTCAGGAAGTCGTCCTCGCCTGGCGCCGCCGCCGCCGCCCATCGGTACACACACCCAAGGTTGAGCTATCAGAAAGAGAGCGAGACGGAGAAAGAGACAGAGAGAGAGAGAGAGAGAGACGCGGTGCCTCACCATTTCCGTTTCTGCTTGGCGATGTCCATGTTGCGCAGGTCCGGGTTAGGGTGTCCTGCCGCACGTCCTTCTCCGGTGCGCGAGGCGCGAGGATTCCGCCGCGGCCGCCGCCGGCCCAGTGCCACCCGCTGGACGTCAGCCGACGGGCAGGACCGCACCGCCAGCCATCCCGACGACGACGGCACCGGCAATCGAAGCGCCTTCCATCAACCCCCTCTGATGACCCCTGGAAGCGGGCGGCGATGTCGTGACCATGCGCCCTCTGGGCCACAGGGGACCGACGGCGGTTGACGAGTCCCCGGGGGCGCGTGGCGCGTGGACGGCGACAATGCAGGAGCGCTGTGACGGCGTCCGCGACTGCACAGGACTCTTGACGGCGCGGCGCCGGAGGACGCCCGCTGTCATGTGCGGTGTGCCGACGCGGGGACGGGCGCGTGGTGTGTGTTTACCGTTCGGAGCGACTCCGGAGGGGGCGGGGGTCGATTTGGTTGTTTGTTGCAAGTCTGCCCCTGTGAATGACACACCCCCGGCACCCGACCCCCCGACCTCCAGCCCGCCGCCCAGCCCTAAGTGCCCCCCACCCCCAGCGGCGGACCGCCCGGGCCGGGGCCGGGGGGTGTGTCGTTAGAGCTTTTATCCTGTTGTTCTTCCTGTGATTGCGCGGCGGACGAGTTTCGGTAAATAGAGTGAGTGGGGGGCGAGACGCAGGGATACCTGAGCATTTGACTCATGCCTAGCCAGAGATGGATGGTCAAACCGACGTAAGTATATTTTGACGATGATGGCCGTTTAGAGAAACGCCTCGGAAATTGTCAATGACCAACTGAATATTCGACCGAGTCGTTTTTGCCATTAATTCCATATGCTAGTTGTAACTCTACGCTTATCATACACACACATGTTTGCTTTTTAGACAGTCCCCAAGATTATCCCTACCGGAAGGTGAAATCCCCCCCCCCCCCTTGTCTTCATGCTAGGGCACCAGGGCGCTCAGGCATGTAGGCACTAGGGAGGCCGCCGCGGCTCTTCCCCCTTTCCTTCCTATTTCCTAAAAGAGAATTCCAAATTAAAAGAGAGCAATGTCATTTATTTAACCACATTTCAACAATAGGAAAACTGGTGTAGGCCGAACAAAATAATCGACGTGTTGTATTCAACAGAAGTCAATCCGAATTGCAATGAATGTGAATCCAGGTCCACTTGTCACCGGTAACATGGTCCTCTGGGTGCGTGCACTTCCCGGGGCCGTGCGAAAACAAGCCGACCCGGCGCTCCTCGTCCTCTTCGAAGTTCCCGGTCGCTTCTCGGTGGCAGCCCATCGCGCACGCCTCGCAATAACGCTGACGCCGCCAGCGCAGGAAATTGCAGCCGTGGGTGCCCCACACGTGGATGTGCAGCGAGGGGTTGGCGGTGAGGACCCGAGCCACCGCGTCCCGGTGCAGCCACTCGTGGAGGCAGCCCAGCGTGTCGTTGGTCGACAGCTCGAGCCTCCGCAGGCTCGGCGCCGTGGCTGGTGTGATGCCCACCAGGAACTTGTGGCGCTCCTTCTCCTGACCGTCGGGCAAGGGGTCGATCAGCGTCGTGACCAACACGCCCAGCAGCTGCAGGGCAGGCAGCCGGGGCAGCGCGCGGAGCAGCGGCGGCAAGTTGGGCGGGCACACAACGGACAACTGCTCCAGGGACTCTCCGGACGAGCACAGGGCTTCCAAAAGTTCCATGAAACGTCGTCTGTCGCCTTCAGAGTAGCAAAATTCAACGGAGACTGAGCGCAGCTTACGGGCTAGTCGGAAGAATTTGGCAGCCCCCCGCACGACAGGTTCGGGGATGCGGTCGTCAGCATAGAAAGACACGTCCCTCAGCTTTTGGCACGAGGCCAGAACCTGCATCCCAGGAAACATCAAGCAGGTGAGACTCCTTAGATTGGGCACGCCGACAAACAGCTGAAAAGTGTCCTTCTTGCAGTCTCCAGAGCCGAGGTGAACCTCCTCCAGTGAAGCCGCGTGTCCGGCCAGCACGGTGTTCACGAAGGTCTCGGAAGCCTCCGAGATTTCACAACGAAAGTATGTCAAGGACGACCTTAGCGGACCATGAAGAACGGGGCGCATAGTATAGGGTCTGGGCAGACCATCATGAAGGTCAAGCGACTCCAAGCCAGACGAACACGACACTAGGGTCTTTAACAACGCTTCGCCACTATCCAGGGGCGCAACGTCCTCGGGAGAGTGCCACACTTCAAGTTCCACGCTTCTCAGACGGCCGAGCAACTCCTGCTTGAGGACCGCCACACAGGCCTGTGCACATTCGGTGCCCTTTTTAATATGCAGAGTCAAATGTCTCACAGCACACCTCGTCATGGTGAACGCTTTGGTGTGCACCTTGTTGCTGAAGACGACCTTGTCCAGGCAGGGCGCCAGGCAAAGCACGGCGCACAGGCAGGGCTTGTCGTCGCCGAGCTGTCGGCGGCACCATACCTCCGGTTGCAGGACGAGGCTGCCCAGACGCCTGCATACCAGCCGGCAAGCCAAGAGGTCGTCCACGGAGAGGTGCTGCATGACCAGCATGAGGATTTCGGCTGGTAGTTGGCGCAAGGTCGGCTTGGTCATGGTCATGTACTGAGCGAGCCTGTGCGGAGTACTGAGTAGCGCGGGGGAGCGCGTTCACTTTGGATCCTACAACCAACGGTGTCGACACGTCAGTACGTAAAAACATATCGCGCGACTCGTCGGAAACAGAGGACCTGTCCCCGTGCATGCGAGAATAAAAACCCTGAAAGTGCCATTATTCTAAAGCGAGGTAGATTTCTTACGGATGGATTTCGAAAGAATACAAATGGAAGTGGTAAAGTGTGAACCTGCCTTCAAAACTCCTCACTTTAAGCAGAGATTTTGGGCTGTACGACCTTAAGAGAAATAACAGATGCCGGTCGGTTCTGGTTTACGCCACTAAAGTAATGTTTATTTCTAAACACGTTGACTAAAACATTTATAATCGACAGAAGGCAAGAAATAACCTACATAAGCTAGACCTGCCATCTGTAATTTCTCTGAAGGTGATAACTTTGATGGCAGCTTCGGAGTTTTCATTCCTTTAAAAAGTACGGGGCAGGTCCTTCTTGACAGACGTCTACACTCTGTAAACTAGCCTACTTACCGTAGTGCAGCCGTGAAACGTGATGAATGTGTATGGCATAACCTCAATCTTGGGGGACGCGCCCAGCAGCGACTTGAGTGCGGATGCGGAGTGCTGAATCCAAACTGGAGTAAGCTTGTGGCTGGTCTGGCTCTCCGGTGGTCGAACGCAACGCCATCTATCGGGGCGGTTACGACACTATACTAGGTAAAGCTGCAGCTTAAGGCTGAGCTTGAGTTTCCCGGGACCAGCTCATGTTTTTGTGGGCAGTTTGAAATAGTAGTAAAGTTGGTTGGATAGGAGGTTGGATAGTTTGGACTCGAAAGTAGCAGGACGGCTGAAGATTCAGGTTTCGAGTGCTGCCTTGAGAGCCCTAATGCAAGGAAACTTGGCGATGGCCAACACTGAACACATGTCAATACCGTTGCCCGTGAAAAACTTGTCCACATAAAATGGTATCAGTAGATTCACTCTCTAAACAACAAGTTACGACTTGACAAAGTTGTTTTATGATGTTTTCCTACAGTAGACTTGGAAACAAAGTGTTCTACATCGTTGCATGTTGTTCATTGGTAGAAAGATGGATTCAGTGTTCTCATTGGTGGAAAGATAAAGCCCAAGTGTTTGTTTCCTACCGATGTTTTTTTTTTCGTTTCCTACCCCGTGTTTACCGGGATACCAACACTCCACCTTTCGTGGCAAGAGGTAAATTTCGACGCTCGTACTCATATAGTACAAATATATTTCGTGAAATCAAATAAAATTTTGCACGGGAAAATAGAAA